TAGGGCAACGAGAGATTGAGCGGACACGGAGGCAAGTCGACGAGTGGTCAGCCACGCGAGGCGGCCGTCCTAAACTCGTAGAGCCACTCTAGCCCGATCAACTCTGGGTATCAGCTTGGTCTAACCCCGAGACAGAGACGCACAGAACCCAGGTCTCATGATGAGACTAACATCCCGCCGGGATGATCCCGGCAGGGCTACTACTCGAGACCACCTCGAGAGTCACGACAGCTTCCGCTTGTCGTTCTTTACCCCACCATCCAGCCACTAAGGGAGTGACTCAATCATGGTGTCGACCATGTGATATTGTTATCAACAATTCGTTGACGTCCCAATGGTTCGGACCCTACGCCATAGGTCGGTGCTGTAGGGATAGCGATCCCAGCCTATATTTGACCTGCCACTTCAGGGCGGCACATGACTGGGCCACGTTGGTTCCCTACCAAGTCCCAGTCAGTGCTTAAAACACAACATATTAAGTGAAACCGCACAATGATGGAAAAATTAGTCTTAAACCTGCCACTTCATACACGATATTCGATGAACCTGAAGAAAAGAAGCAAATGGATGAAAGGAAAGAACCAAGAAGACTGAAAGGAAGAAAGAAAGAGGGAAAAAATCTAAACACCGTCACACCCAAGATAGCTCGTCTGATGCCTAACTTAGAGTGCTTGAGGGTTTCCAACAGGAATTCTCAAGCACTCTGGGGGAACTTTCTCTGTTCTTGGGTGTATGTTCCGAAGGTGATCAGACTGGATCACTGCTTTAGCAACGACTTGACGTCTTGCTTTTCTCTTGAAATTCCGTCATCTGTCTTTCGGCTATCCGTGAACTTGCTCTCTTGGGAGACCTTCACCGCCTTCCGGGACAAGTAACTGCTTCTCTCACATAGACAATTCACCTTAAGCTATGGACGTGCCGAGAATTGGACTCGGGGCCTTCTGCATGCAAAGCAAACGTGATACCTCTACACCACACGCCCGGTGAAAAAGTAAGTTACGCCGCCTTCCGGGACAAATAACTGCTTCTCTCAGATAGACAACTCACCTTAAGCTATGGACGTGCCGAGAATTGGACTCGAGGCCTTCTGCATGCAAAGCAAACGTGATACCTCTACACCACACGCCCGGTGAAAAAGTAAGTTACGCCGCCTTCCGGGACAAATAACTGCTTCTCTCAGATAGACAACTCACCTTAAGCTATGGACGTGCCGAGAATTGAACTCGAGGCCTTCTGCATGCAAAGCAAACGTGATACCTCTACACCACACGCCCGGTGAAAAAGTAAGTTACGCCGCCTTCCGGGACAAATAAGTGCTTCTCTCAGGTAGACAACTCACCTTAAGCTTTAGACGTGCCGAGAATTGAACTCGGGGCCTTCTGCATACGAAGTAGACGTGATACCTGTACACCACACGCCCGATGAAAGAGTAAGCTACGCCGCCTTGCGGGACAAATAACTGCTTCTCTCAGATAGACAACTCACCTTGAGCTATGGACGTGCCGAAAATTGAACTCGAGGCCTTCTGCATGCGAAGCAGACGTGATACCTCTACACCACACGCCCGATAAAAAACTAAATTACGCCGCCCTTCGGGACAAACAAGTGCTTCTCTCAGATAGACAATTCATTCTACGTTATGGACGTGCCGAGAATTGAACTCGGGGCCTTCTGCATGCAAAGCAAACGTGATACCTCTACACCACACGCCCGGTGAAAAAGTAAGTTACGCCGCCTTCCGGGACAAATAACTGCTTCTCTCAGATAGACAACTCACCTTAAGCCGTGGACGTGCCAAGAATTGAACTCGAGGCCTTCTGCATGCAAAGCACACGTGATACCTCTACACCACACGCCCGATAAAAAAGTAAGTTACGCCGCCTTCCGGGACGAATAACTGCTTCTCTCAGGTAGACAACTCACCTTAAGCTATGGACGTGCCGAGAATTGAACTCGGGATCTTCTGCATGCGAAGCAGACGTGATACCTCTACACCACACGTCCGATAAAAAAGTAAGGTACGCCGCCTTCCGGGACGAATAACTGCTTCTCTCAGGTAGACAACTCACCTTAAGCTATGGACGTGCCGAGACTTGAACTCGCGGACTTCTGCATGCAAAGCAGACGTGATACCTCTACACCACACGCCCGGTGAAAAAGTAAGTTACGCCGCCTTCCGGGACAAGTAACTGCTTCTCTAACATAGACATTTCACCCTACGTTATGGACGTGCCGAGAATTGAACTCGGAGCCTTCTGCATGCGAAGCAGACGTGATACCTCTACACCACGGCTGGGTGGAAAAAAAGAGAAAAAGGAGGGGGAAAAAGGAAAAAAAGAAAAGGGAAAGAAAAGAATCGTCAAGTCGGGGGCTAGAGCAAGTGTGAATCCCAAAATCGGTGGGAAACAAGTTTGCCCACCACAAGTCATTCTTCGTGCTGCTTCGGAACGTTATTGTTCAACCGATTCCAAGTTAAGGCTTACAACACAATCTCTCACGAAAATGAAAAGAGCTTTATTACTCATCTCAAACGTATGTATAGCGTCATATATCATCATAATCATGCTGCGTTTTATGCCGACGGATCTCTAGAGAAACGTACAAGCATCTGAAAGGGAAACATAAAAGATATTTAGAGAGATTATAAGTGTGGTATTACTCATTTGAGATGAGCTACCTCAAACGTATACATAGCTTCGCATATCGCTATGATAATAATGCATAAGTATTTGAGGGAGAAACACGATATATCGCGAAGATGAGAGGGTTTTACTACTGATCCAAGATGATTCATCCCAGAAGTATATATAATATCACATCATGCTGCATTTCTTTCCGACGGATCCCCAGAAGAGCGAAGCAGTTTGCACGACGACCTGGAAAAGTAACATTAGAATGGCTTCCCTTGCTATAATTTCTGTAAACTCACTCTTGATGCCCTTCAAGTGGCCGCTTCTTCTCTTGATACTTATTTCTCTTCGCCTCTCTACGGCGGGCTGCCTTGGCGTCACTCCGTTGCTTCTTCAGAACCCTCAACTCCTCCACTCGGGATGGAGGAATGTTCCCCGCCAGAGGGCATAAACACATCAGTTTCTGGTCCTCATCCGCAAATCGCTCGTGGGCAAGAAGAATGTTGCCATCTCGATCCCTCATAACGGCACTCAGTGCTATGCCGCACAAACCACAATGTCGAGTGCCTTTCCTCTCTTCGCTAAACTCCACTATCAACTCCTTCGCCAATGCACGTGAATAAGCAACAACTGCGGGATCAGGATCAATCTTCGGTGGTTGCTCCGGACATAAACCATAGCGGGTGCCATCATCAGTGTGGGCATTATAGCCTTTCGCCTTGGGCTTCCCACAGTACTTACACACCATACTCATAGGCCCTCCTTTCGTGGCAGATGTTTTGGTATCCTCACCATGGGTACCGTTCTCCTTACTCGAATTGCCTGCAGCTTCTGTTGATTCGAAGGCAACAGGAGGATCACTTCTAACCACCTTATGCACTTTATCAACCCTAGCCTTCTGCCCCTTCCAATCATCAACAATATCATCACCCGTGACTGGTAGAGAACGCATCGCAGGGTGTTCTCCGATAGTGTCGACCACCCCGGGGTCGATATTGGATCGTATGATATCCTGCTGATCATCTTCAGCTCGAAAAGTGCGCTCTAATAGTATCTGCTGCTGCATACCTCTCACAGTGATAGGTATGGTCGAGCGAACGCGACAGAGCTCACGCATGAATACCCTCAGGTCTTGTGGAGTGATGTCGTGGAGAGGAAGTGGCGGTTTCTCGGATACACCATCAATCACACCCTGCAATTCATTGAATACCCTTCTCTGATAGCATTTATGAACATCCATGACCTAGCTCCCCGACAAGTTCACCAACCACACCCTTCACCAGCGGAGTCCATTTAGCGAGCGGTACAGGATGAGGACTAGCCCGAGGTCCCATCATCTGGAAAATTTTTCCTTTACTAGTACCGGAATCGATAAGGGATTTCAGCCTCTCGCCAGTGTCTGATGTGCTCTCAGCCGACTCACTCGACACTGACGATACAGCGTCCTCCTCATCATCACCGAAGATACCATCTTCCTCCGTCCCGACCGGATTATCCGCTCCAGTACCATCATCGGCTCCATTACCATCACCAATCCATTCACAGAAAATCTTCTGGTAAAGCTGCTCATTCGTAGCCCGGAGATGCGACGAGCCGAACGTGACGGCATTGCCCAACCTCACACAGCTTCGCACACGCCATCTAACTTAGAGGCTCTAAGTTCACGGAGCCCCATCGCAATTTCGCCGAAAGCACACGATCCAACTGCCAGTACGTTCATTATATATCCTTGAAGGGTAACCCTTCATCTGAGATCAGAGCAACCCAGTATCCAAGCTTGTTATTCATAGAAATGGATGCCCCCGCACGAGTGTGATCAACGCTTAGGCTTCTCCGGGCCGCAATACTCTCAAGCCCCATCTCCAAGTCATGCCGATGGCGTAGAAAATCATTCAAGTAGCTGCGCGCAGAGTAGCATAATGCAACCTCGTCTGACGAGGAACGGCAACATCGGGGGGCAA